ACACTTTAAAATAAGTCGAGCTTTAAATCCTCATTCATAGTTACATGGTCATAAGCCACTAATTCTGCTAGGCTACTGGTCCTTGAGGCCTTCCGTGCCATCCAGTAAATGGGAATAAGAGTTGCCGGAAGTGTAATACTATTTAGCTTGTGGACACATGGACACTGACATGAGAGCGAGGTTACTCTGCATTGAGTCAATTTTCAGTTGTGCACCAGTTGCCCTCATCAGAATCCTGCCATCTGTGTGAACATTACACGATGGCTTACAATCTACCCACAGCTCAGTGTACACTCAGGCTCAATAGGTATATATGAGGGTGAAGAATGAGAGAGGTACAAGCCCGCCGGCTCAGTTTCGATCAAATAGTTGTCTCCGAGGCATCAATATATCGAACAGGACCTGTCCACTTGTGGATGTTTACGCCACTTCAGTTAGCCGGACGGAGACCAGACGAACTTTTTGTTGTCCCAGAGATATCAGCCCCAGAGGGCCAATCTCGCAACCGGATTCCCGTGTGGAAGTTGGAGCAGGCGAGCTAACCCTGCAACTGGTAACGGGGCCTATGACAGACTTGAGGTCCGGCCCGCCAGGACTGAGTGTCTCGAGTAGTCGTTTTGGCCGGACCATACAGAAACGGGAAAGCCTAGAATGTTTCTATGTTGTCCCCATTGTGATCATACCCCTTGTGGGCCACTCTTCTGCTTGACAGACGCAAGGGCTGACGTGGCAGCTTGACCGGTATTTATGCCTCCCTACTTGTCAGTCACCTGCCAGCACTGAGTATGCTTACGGGACCGGTAGTCACTCGGTCTCCTCATCTCCTCAACTCCTTCCCCATCCTCCATCATCCGCTTGAATTCATATACACAATTCGTGCATGAATACAAACACAGGCCAACTTACGCACGAGTACAATTTCCTAAATACATAAATTTAAGCACTCTTGCACATGCTGACATTAAGTCAACACACACACACACACAGATGCATTTATATTCATGCATAAATCAGACATACAAAAAACATACGTACAAATAAATGTGCACACCCTCATGCACAAGCAGAAAATGCTAAACAAGTACACGTAGGCATGCATCCATGCACACATTTAGGCGTCCATTCTTCACAAAAGTTCATTAATGCAATAAGAAGTAATAAAATCTTTTTTTTTCATTGGCCGAATCCGTTCGCGTTCTCTTGAATACAGCGATACCGTGAGTTCATTGACCCTCTTGTAGGCAAGTGAATCGCAGACACGGCTTGGTAATATTCAAACTTCGATTCCCGCCTATGTAGCTTTCAAGACTGAATGGAAACGACTTTAAGGAATTTGCCCAAGTCATTTACTTCATGGAGGGCATTCGAACCCAGTTCTATGGATCAACTTGCTGTGACTTTGTGGGCAGCTGCCTTAGTGCGTTTACTTTTGGCCAACTTTTTTCGTCCTTATACACAGTATAAAATGCTACTTTCTCTGTCTCTAGTAACATTGTCGAGTTTAGTCGTAAATAAGAGATTATGCTTTCGACACCCTTCAGACTTCAAATGGGAGTTAGTTTCTTCTAAAGGTCATATTTTGCCCTAATACACATTGGCATTCGAGCTGATCGTTTACTTATTGCAGATAAACTCCAGCTCGAAACTGCCGCTCAGCCTGGATGAGAAAGTCTTTTGAGAGACCGGACGAAAGGAAATTCACTTGCTTGAGAAAGCTTTCGTAACATTTTACTGTAGACGAACAATCTATATGGATCTGCATCACTTTACGTGATCGGAGGAGACCTTCGTGCTTCTAAATTATCGAATGACTTGTTTGGGCACTACTTATCCTTTCGCTCTACATCATAGCTTGAGCCGTTTGGGAGTGAAAAGCTTGGGAATAAAGGATTTTCACAATTTCGAGTTGAGACCTGTTGGCCTCAGCCTTAGACTTTAGCAGAAATCACGAAGACTATGGCACAGAATGCAGGACAAATTACGTTCCACAAGGTCTCTGACGCTCCGACCAAGTTGCGAAAACGAGGTCAAACCAGCACTGTTTTAGCAGAATAGTCTCTCCAATTCAATAATGTTTATTACTAATGGTCTTTCGCCAATGTAGTTATGGGCTTGTTAAGCGTCGTTGTATCGAATGGACGATGGTCACCTGGAGAGCCAAGACACTAACTGTACCAATTCGATCCTAATGGATTTAACCGAAGTATGTGGTTCCTCTAACTTACTATTGCCTCTTCCAGCTCCCCTGTGACTAGTGTCTGCAATAGCAATTGCGCCAAGGTTCTTGGAGCTTCATTCCTTGCGCTCAAGTGAGCCAGCTGGCCGGAAACGCGACCTCGACTCAGTCATAGACCGAAATATTTCATATTAGAGTAGAGTTTCTAGACTACCAGTAAATCAGTAATATAAGATGTATTCACCCTATTTCGTCCAAGGTGATGAAGGACTGCAGTCCACCCTGGATGAGAACAACTTTTGGGAAAGCAAAGCTATGTGAAATTCAATAAAAACGTCAGCTCAACTCATATAATTGTGGGAAAATTCTACTACCAGTCCTTCATCACCTTAGACGAAATAGGGTGAAATCATCTCATATTACCGAAATATTTCAAATGCACGCTCTGATACGAGGCAGTCTCTCTGACCAATATTGCTCACCCAACGTCTCCATGCTGATGATGAAGCATAGGAGTGGATGTATATGAAAAAGGCCGATAGTTGATCGGGCCATTTCGTCGAACTACCCAACCATTTGATGCTGCTTGTGAAGCATGTCTTTCATTCGACAAACTTGGATGAAGGAAATAACAGAAACAATCCAAAAATGATGCTCACCAAAATGAAAGAGTTGGGTCAAAAAAATGTTCGGGACATGTGGGAAAATTCAACTACCGGTCCCCTTATCACCTTAAATGAAATCTGTTAAATACATCTCCCAGTCTCATTAACTTCCGCTCAAGTTTTATGAATTCTATTGAGATGAAATACACCAATTTCGACTGACTGCGAATATGCCGGTGATAAATTAAATAGAAGGATTGATTTCTATGTCTAATTTCACTTCGACATGTATCCAGGCTTGGTTGGAGTTTGGACCTCATCTCGTCATCTTGTCATCACCTTTAATGGAGTTAGAATTGTAGACATGAGAGTTAAGAAGCAAAAAAATTACTTCCTTTAACCTTTCTGTTATAAAGTGGCAATTTTCTAAGAAATAGATACTTGTTTACTGTCAGATATCAAGTTGTTTTGCTATCTGTCCAGTGCAAAAACCAGTTAATGCGAGTATATAAAGATAGCAATCAAGCTATTAATAGATGTGAAATAAAATAGTTGCTAAATTCTAAGCCAAAAAAAGTTTAGGTCTAAAGGCAACCATACATGATTGCCTAACGATCCGAAATTCCCCATAAATTGAGGCTCTAAAGACTTGCTTGTCGTGTGATAATATGGGGCTGTAATGACTTTTCTCAGTCCATCCTGACTACATCAGCTAGTTTTGCTACATTTCATGCACATTTATCTCTATATGATATGTATTTACCATATTTAGTTTAAGATGATAAGTGGACTGGCGGTTGAATTTTCCCACAATGCAATGACTATTCCATTTAATTTCACATAGTTGTGGAAAATGCAATAGAGACGTCATGTATACTCATAAGGTTGTGGGTAAAGTCAACTGCCAATGCCCTTATCACCCTAACACAAATAAGATGAATACGTCTCATATATATGATCTACTGGTAGCTTCGTAAGCCTACTTCTAAACAGTTATATCTCAATATATATGAATAAAAGTTGGGTTTCGAGGAATC